TTCCTGTGTGGCCTTTGCTGCAGGTCCAACTCAATGTGCAGTGAGCTGGCACTCAAGAGCAATGCTAGCTGATCAGTGCCGGCTGTGCTAAACTGCCAAATTCTCATGTTGCTAGAGTGCACGAGCCCCTCTTGCATCTCCGGGAGAGTGAGCAGGTATGAAAGAAAATGGAGAATCACCACCAGTATTATCTTTCCTCCCGGAGAGGTTCTCATCTTGAAGGACATCGCCACTGGCTGCCTCCTGCTCTTCCCTTGACACTGTCTGCCCTCGTGGAAAGGCAGCTCCTGATGTTCAGAGCAGACCGGCGTGCTTGTAAGACAGGCTGTTATCTAGAAATAAAGGGTTTATCACAGGTTTTTAAGGCCCAGGGGAGATCTGCAGTGTCTCTAGATTTGAGTTGGTGGCTTGCTGATATATGAGGTCTTTTGAAAGCCTTTGGTAGATGAGAATGAGGGGAGTGCTGAGGTTAAGGGACATAAAGAAGGGGCTGGCAATGGTGCCAAGAGGGAAATTGAAGAAATGACTGAATTAAATTACCTGGTAGATGTTCACAGTTATTGTTTCCGCTGATAACGTGAGTGTAGCAGGCCTAAACTGCGGTATTATTTTAAAAGTTTTTTCCCTCATTGGCTGCGTCTGCGGTGGAACTCTATCTCTAATATTAAAGGGATCGCTTTTCTAATGGGATTCATGCTTTTCCATCTGTGCCAAAAAAGTCATAATATTTGAGAGCTGTTACTTTATAGCTGAAACAGTGGTCGCCTTGTATTTTTAGCTGCATGTGCGGAGTTTTCATTAGCATTTCACAACTTGGATTACTTGCAGAACAAAACTGAAAGCTGAACTGGGTGCTCATACAGAACTAATTCCAGGGGAAATTACCGTAATGCATCGTCTGCCGTTAGCATTGCAGTCCTAACGTCGACAGCTGAGGGGAGCTGGATGGTGCTTGGTGATCAAGCACCTCTTTCGCTCCCTCCTCGGGAAGCTGAATATCTGAAACTCTGTCAGTGTTTAAACCATTGGGGGAGCGCGTGAGGATGTCCCATAATCTCTAAATGAAGGATAAAGGGATGTAGCCTGTTACTATACAAAAGCTATCGCAGTACGTCAATGATGTGTTATAACCCAAAAGTGTAACAAAGAACGCCTTCAACATCCCGTGCTAAAATACTCTTAAATCTCTAATTGTCACTTGGAGCTTCAGAAGCTACATACCATGCACTTATCAAAGCACAAACAAGAACAGACTGTGTTTCTTGGGCTCTTTTTTTCCTTGTGCCACCGAGAGTGTGCTTGTTATGATATTTAACAGTCTATCTCCTGAGTAAATTACAGCTAACGGTGAGCAGTGCTTTGCTTGCATTGTGATTCTATAAAAGAGGAGGAAATTCTGCATGGAGAGTTCACGTTAGTGATTTTTAGTTCTTGTTGTCACGGTATTTGTTATGTGTAGGTATCTGGAGCTCAGTATAAGTCAGCAGTTGTGAAGGGTTTTGTAGAAAAATGAGAGCTGACATTATAAATTCTTAGTAACTGCACTTCAGTTTCTTTTCTTCCTTTCAGTTATGTCAGTCCTTTGCCTTTGGGGATGTTTCTTAAATAACCTTTGATATTTGTAGCAAACAGCATCAGTGATGTAAGTTCACCCATTTTGTTGCTGTTCTCATAAAAGGACGGCAACATTCTCATTCAGAACTTCTTACTGGAGAGAGATTTTGTCCGACAATACAATTTTTAAAGGAAAAATTGTCTTTCTGTTCTTGCCGTCTCTCAATTTCCAAATTGTATGTTCTGCCACACTTCCAGGTCAGGCTGGATGAGGCTTTGGGCAACCTGGGCTGGTGGGAGGTGTCCCTGCCCATGGCAGGGGGTGGCACTGGGTGGGCTTTAAGGTCCCTTCCGACCCAAACTATTTCATGATTCTATGATTCTATGGTATTTATTTTAAATTTTGTTTGGAATTATTTGTAACACCCAGCATGAATATGTTGAGCCAGAAGTTTTGATATCAAATGATTTAATATAATTTCTTCATGGAAATAATATAATTTACTGAGCACAGTAGGGATTTGTAATATATTCAGCATGGGCAATAGTACACATCACAGCCCCTGATTCCCGTTGGCTCTAACATCAAGCAGCATGACTCAGTCGGTAAAATAAAGCTGTCCTCTAGTGCAGCGAGAAACTGAGAGCTTCAGTGCTAGAACTATTGTTTAATTCTTAATGCAAGAATCAAAATTAAATTCCCTTCAGGCTGGTAGTTACGCCAGGGGAGACTTGGCCCAGCGGACAAGCGTTATATGTAAATATAAAAATTTACCTGAATGTTACCTTAATTAAGAAACAATGAATTTCACCATGTATTCCACTTAATGCCACATTTGCACATTATGAAATGAGATAATAAGTTTAATTTTTGAGAGCTTAATTTTGCTGGATAATTTTTTATTGGGTAATTGTTAATATTTTTTTTTCTTGAGTGGAATCTCACAGGCTGACTGTAAAACCACCTGGGAAGCCTTCAGACTCATTTTGCAGGGTTAAATGGGTGCAAGCGGAGGAAGGTCCGTAGTGTCGGCAAAGACCTTCAACAGCAGGGTTTGTCCTGGGTCAGAGATGGATGGAAAGCGTGCTAAGCAGTGCTGAGGAAAGAATTAACACTTTGTAGGAAGATGAACTCTAAGAAACATCTTACAATAATGCCCGTTAAGTTTCTACATGTAATTGAAAGATGGGCATGTAGTTACCAAAGACAAAAATCAGTGACCTGAATTCTGGTCATGTTCTAGTCCGTCACAGTTGTGCTGTGTGATTTGGGGTGAGACGCTTCAATTCTCCTCATTTTCCATGTACAACGGTGATATTATTCAAAAATGTACACTAATACCCAGTATTAAAACAGTGCAATTATAGAATAGAATCACAGAATGCTTTGAGTTGGAAGGGACCTTCAGGATCACCTAACTCCAACCCCCTGCCAACGATCGCTGTATTTTCACTGGTCCCTACAGAAGCCGTGCTGCCCGTCAGCATTACATGGTTGGCACATCATGGGCCATGAGCCTCCTCCTGACAAATCATCTTGATGCATCGACTGCCTTGAATTCAGATTTTCAGTTTGGGATAAGAAACATTTCTTGACGTTGTTTTAGGAGATTATTTACATTTTTCTACATTAATATAAGCTCGTAGGATCAGAGGGAAGCTCTGAGTGTCCCTATCAACAACATCTCTTGTAAACTGAGAACCTTAAAAGATAACACTCAGCCTTAAAAGACACTTGTCCTCACCATTCCTTTCTGAAAGCTGTTCCAAAATCTTTCTCCTGTAAGGATGGCATTTCTTTGTGGCTGGTGCAGCCTTTTTTTTTTTTTTTTTTTTTTTGTGTTCCTTAGCTTAAATACTGCTAGGTGACAGTTTTTGCCATTTCAGTGTTTAGATATTTCATATTCTGCAGCAATTATTTTTCTCTCACCTTTGAGTCTTCACAGGCCAGCCAAGCTTCTTGCAAGACAGGCTGTCTGTTCCCTGCCTGCCCTTCGCTACACCCTCTGCTCTCCGGGAAGGTGAACCCAAACTGAATTCCCAGAGCTGTACCAAGTATTTCACTCTCACTCTTAGCTTCTAGAGCGATGTTCCCCTGCCTTGAAGCAGCTTGTTTGGTATTTTCTTCTGTTTTAAACAGACTGGTAGATATCCAGATTGCTCTCTTAAGTAGAACAGTATTTATCAGCTGCGTCGCCGTCAGTCTCAAAGCTGTTGCTGCAGGTACTCCGTGTTGGAAAGAGACCTAATTTCATCAGCATCTCCCCATGATTAAACAGCCCCAAACCTTCCAGCCATGTGCTAATCCTGGAGCCATCTGCGGATCTGAGTTATCCTGTTACGTGCCTACTTTATTTCTGTTGGGATCAGGAGAACTTAACACAAGATCAGTTGAATTTCCACTTGTTTAAACACCTTTCCCAGCCTTAGCGTTACACCTCCTAAAGCCATTCTAGTGGGAACCTCGTACTGTCACGTGTCACAGTATGAGATAGCCACTGACATCTTCCCCTCGCCTGTCAAGTTCCTTTTTGCCTCACGTCAGCTGCTTTTAGCTCTGCTCCTCTCGGGCAGAAGACCCTTCTGCTCTGATCTGCTCCAGTTAAAGGCCTGTCCGTCCTTACCGAGGAGTCCCCGGCTGCAGGATCCCCTTCCCTCCCTTCTGTCAGCCTTCTGCTCTTTCTCTACAGCCTTCACCTAAGACGACAGTGGGATCTTCCAGGCTGAAGTTGTCTGTCCTTGGAGGTTCGGTGTCTGAGCTGGGTTATCGATTCCAGAGAGTCCTGGATGCCTATTTGGCATTGTAACTACCTTACAGACCCTCCTGGAAATAATATCTTTGTATCTTCTCTGCATCTTTTCCGTATCAAAATGTTTCCAAAAATAGGCATGGTGAGCTTTTTCAAATTCAGTGGATCCTGTTGAATAACGGGAGAGGTGGGAGTTTTGCCGAGTCGGTGAGGATCAGGCAGTAGGACCTTGCTGGTGCCTTGAGTTCTTGAGGGAACGAAGCTACGAGTATAACCCTCCGCTGAAGGTTAAAGAATGAAAGAATCAGCGTCGAACATCCCATGAAGCATGTCACTGAACTTTTTCCCAACCGCAAATGGACCACCTGGTTGTATATAGGTTACTTCTGTCAAAGAAACGAGTCTTTATAATTTGTAGACTAGAAAATATTTCATGATTATTCAGGGCACAGACAAAAGACCAGAAATACAAATCAAGGCCAGGACCTCACAGCAGCTGAATCTTTTGTTTCACTCGCCAGTGGGCTGTACGACACCCTCGGTCATGCTCTCTAGAGCCGTGAAACAAAGGAACCCTGGTGGTGTTTGCTTTGGCTCAAGGCAGAGATGGTTATTTTAAGTGAGTTCATAAACAGAGTAGGGAACTATGCTGGTTTGTATAATTTTATTTTCTCTTTTTTTTTTTTCTCTCTGTAGGTCACTCAGATGAGTCGTCCAGATCTGATTCTCTTTCTCATGAAATATCTCATGGCTTTGGTTGTTGGGATACCTTCCGTCTTCTGGGTTGGAAGCAAAAAGACCTGTTTTGAGTGGGCTAGCTTCTTCCATGGCCGCAGGAAAAAAGAGTGAGTATTGATACCTCATAGATAAACTGGTTGTTTATCTGTGTGCTCCTGGAAGAGTATTTTGGTCAGTTTTTCATGGAGGCAAGGACAGGAACAGAGAGGGTCAGCTTTCTTAGAAATCTCTCACTAATCAACATGAAGCAAGGGAGGACAGGACAAGCAACAGCTCAAAACAACCCTGAAGAATTGTCGCTTATTTTTCCGTAATCACTCTTTGGTCCCAGAACCAAGTTTGCACTGCTCCGTCTGTTTTTGAAACACTTTTTTACAGGAATTAGGTTTCAGTTGAATACTACAACTTCTCTCCCATTTACCGAGAAGTGGAATGAAAAGTTTTTATTTATAAGCATGCTTTTCTAGTCAACTGAATCAGACCTTTAAATTGAAATTAAACATAAGTTCTTTCCACCACGACCGCAGTTAAAAGCAATTGCCTCTGCCTTCCCTTGTGCATTAGCACCAAAGCCCAGCCTGATGAAATCATAGTAAGAATGTCTTACAGCTCCTGTAGGGTTGGAATTAATTTAGACTAAGGTATGGCATAATTTAGAGACAATATAGATGATGATGTAACAGCTATGAATAGCTATTTCCATAATCATAAATATTGTCTTCTACATAGTTGTTTCAAAATAGATGCACGAATACAGCAAGTGACTACTCCATGGCTCTGACTTCTCCATCCTTGGCAGAACTGGCCTTCTGCTGAGCTTACAGTAAAATTACTTTCTGTAAAGTTGGAGCAAATTTTTCTTCATTCAAAAGATAACCTACTAAGATATGCATGGGGTTAACTACAGCTTAATATGATTGTAATCCACATCTATACATTTAGCTGGGATGTACATAGAGGTGACACACTGGTTCGGTGGGCAGAGGGCAGGAATGGAGTTAAGGAAGGCTGAGGAAGCTGTTTTACAGGAGCGGCTCTCTCAGGGAGGGCTGGCTGGCTCCTGGAGGTGCCATCCTCTCTCTGGTGCAGCTCCCACACACAGCAGCGTCGGGCTGGAGCCACATTCCTTCACCGGCCCCATTCCTGGAGCAGTAAGAGGCAGAGCCGATGCCTCCCTCCCTCTCTAGGTAGCCTGTGATCCTCTGTGAGCACAAAAATTAAAAGGAGGAGCTAGCCAGGCAGGGGAAACGAACATGAAAGAATAATACAGGGAGTGGGAGGGGAGGAAAAGGCCTCTCCACAAAAAAAGAGATTAAAAAAGAAAAGAAAAAAGGACTGCAGAGGATGTGATGGCACCTCCTTTCATCACGCTATGGTAGAGTTGGCCACATGTGTGCCCCTCTGCAGGGGATTTCAGCAAAGACAGGAGCTCTGAGACTGCAACCGCTGATCTGAGGGCTGCAGGCCCGTTGCTTATGCATTATTATAGATGTTGTGTTTCATCTGGGGTTCTCCTCCTGCTGCCAGTTTTAATCCAGATTCTTCATTTGAAGTGGCTTCCTGTGTTCCCTGAGTTCAGTTCCCCGGGTACCCCGAGCTTGCTGAGTCACAGCGCTGTCCCCAGGATTTTCTCGCAGCAATATTCGCACACTAAGGCCGTAAGCGAATACACGGCAATGATTCCACATCTAGGCCAGAGACACAGCGAGCAGGAAGGATTCCAGAACATGAACTTTGCTAAAATATCCAGATGTAGAGGTGCTTCTAAATCAGGCAGATAGGGACATTACAGTGTAAATAAATGGTTTTATTTGCCGAGCTGTAATATTTGCGTTCTGTTTGTGAAATCGTGCTGTTACTGCGATCACTTTTATATTGCCGTTGTTAACGATTCAAATTGTGTGTCTTGTTCAGAGTTGTAAATGAGAGTCGTCAGGTGCTGCAAGAGCCAGACTTTGCTCAGTCTCTTCTGCGAGACCCCAATACCCCCATCATCCGAAAATCCAGAGGCACTTCTACCCAGGGCACCTCCACTCACGCCTCCTCTACCCAGCTGGCGATGCTGGACGACCAAAGGAGCAAGGCCGGCAGCGTCCACAGCAAAGTCAGCAGCTACCACGGCAGCCTGCACCGATCGCGGGACGGCCGGTATGTTTGTTCTCCTTAAAATCTTGTAGAAAATTGGACAAACCTCTGTTAGTGGGAAGTTTGGCCATCATGTTGCTAAAAACCTGGAAGTTCTGCTAATATTTACTTTCTCTGACTGCGCCTGCTCTCCCTGTTAGTGCCTGGGTTGGAAAGGGAAAAGATACCACCATATTTTTCAGAGTCTATGCGAGTTTTGATGAATTACATGGTGTGAACGTGTTCAGCGCTGGTTTTCCTGCAAAGACAGTGACCTCGGTCACATCACTGATCTTTAAGGTCCTTCCCAACCCTCACCATTCCATGATTCTAGATCATCTAAGCGCATGGGAAAACAGATCCGTCCCCGTCAGTTCGGTATTTTTGTGGCTGCTTTTCTCTGTGTGTAAATTGATTTTGTTTCTGTAACTAGTCCTGGCCCTGCTGAAGTGAACAGCAATAAAAGTTGCCCACCTTACCTTGAGCTGTAGTTCAGGTTTCTAACATAATTTATCATCGAGGATTTTACTCACCTAATTATCAAGACTATACATAGCGCTGTAGTAAGAGCCGTGCCGCGTGAGGCGCTGAAACAATTTGCCGGGGGCTGTCTAAGCCAAATGACTCAGCTCAACAGAGAACGGCTTTCTTCACCAAAGCTGAGGGTTTATGTGTGCATGCATGTGCGCCGAGATTTATTTACATTCCTTCATGGCTGCGGCAGCAACAAGAGTAATAATCATTCTCTGTTTTTGTAAATCAGGTACACTCCCTGCAGCTACAGAGGCGTGGAAGAAAGACTACCTCACGGCAGCATGTCCCGACTGACCGATCATTCCAGGCACAGCAGCTCTCATCGGCTTAATGAACAGTCGCGTCACAGCAGCATTCGGGATCTCAGCAGCAACCCCATGACGCACATCACGCACGGGACCAGCATGAACCGCGTCATCGAAGAGGACGGCACCAGCGCTTGAGCCACTCTGGTCGGAAAGGAGGAGCTGGATGCGGTGGCATGGCTCGCGGTCCCTTCCTCGGCGATGTGACAGTGCTCAGTATTATCATGCCTCTCATCAGGTGCTGATTTTGTGCATCAGGAAGCCGAAAACGGGCTTCTTCGTGTTGAAGCCAGCGTTCTTGTACTTGCATCCGAGCTAGAGTGTTCAGCAATCTTGAACTCTTGAGTAAAAAGCTGGTTGCCTCATTTGAACCGATCTGTAGGTAATTATTTATTCGATAACTGTTACTCATCAGCCACCACTGCTGAGTTTCTGTGTTGGAAACAATCCCCTTGCCCCTCCGCTGGCTCTGCATGTCGGTAGGTGTTACCCTTGAAAACTCGCGGGCAGGGTCACGCTGAGATTTTTTTCTTACAGGCAGAACTCTTGACTGTTGAAGGAATTCTCCGCGCACCTCTCTAGGCTCTGATTAGATAACAAACCTGTACGTGTTTTCATCGAGCGCAGGGGGAGAGGCCGCGTAGGAGACGCTGTGTACAGGACGTCTGTGCGGATTGGCAGGCGTTTTAATGGTGACACTGGAAATGAGCGTTTTGGAGAAGGAAAGGAAGCTCCACTCTTGATCACTAGCTCTTAGCAGAGCTGTTCAGGCTCAGTCGTTGGGATAGGGTGGGAGGGCGGGGGGAAGAGAGAGGCA